GTTTTAATGTTATTTAATAAAGTAATTAAATAAAAATGAAGTTATTTAATATCTAAAAGAATCATACTATAATTAAAAGAAAATAATTTAATCTAGTGATTATGTAGGAAAGTTAAGATAATTTCTAGTCATTAAATGTATTTTCCTATTATACCAAAAAGTATAAAATTGTTGCAAATTGGTCCTTACGCCATGCGTACTTGGGGCGTACGCATGACGTAGTATAACAACCCGGATTTGTTCTGTTAATAATGTTAGCTCCCGTGATTCAAATCTTTTTTTTTCATAGGGTTATTTTGGTTTTAATGTTATTTAATAAAGTAATTAAATAAAAATGAAGTTATTTAATATCTAAAAGAATCATACTATAATTAAGAGAAAATAATTTAATCTAGTGATTATGTAGGAAAGTTAAGATAATTTCTAGTCATTAAATGGTTTATTATGAAGTTAGGGGCCAGGTGTCATAAAATGAAACTTTAAGTGTTAGATTATTAGGGTTAGGGAGGCATGGAAATAAATTATGATATTAGAGCGACCATATGGTAAAATTATGGTATAACTCCCATGGAGAAGGATCGATCCTCCTCCTAACGTCCATTCCTCTAGTGTGTTCCCTATTACAAAAAAAAAAAAAAAAAAAAAAAAAAAAAACGGTCAATGCTTGCTTCTCAATTTTTTTTGCATCGATAGAAAAAAAGAGAACAATGGATTCCTACTTGTCTCTCGTATGCATTGCTCGATCATAGACTAGAGATAAAAAAAAACAGCTAAAGGGGGAGAATGAAGGCAACAAACCGAAAGAGATGAAGAGGAAAGAAGGGTTTGTTGTTGTTGATCCTAGAGGGATTAGAGGCTGCAAAAATCAACCCAATTAGAGGTAAAATTATCTACTTAATCTTCTTCTCATATTTTTAGTTAAATTTATTGAGAATTGGTGGAATTGGTGAATCAAATTTGATGTTAATGATCGTATCTTTTTCCTCATTACAATCTTTGAGTGTTCATATGATTGAATTTTAGTTTATTGGGAGAAATTTTCTGTTTTTTATGTCAGTTTCAAGTATGAACTCTCCCAAGAATGTTATGCTTCATGTTCTTTAAATACTCCAAGTTTTTTAGAACATTGTATTCTTTGGTGATTGATAAAGCTTATGTTATTGCTACCCTGATTTAAGAGGTTAATTTTTCTTTTTTTGTAAAAATACCATGTTTTGAGCCACCCAAAAGGTCTTCAAAACATTCCCTAAAGATCTTAATACAAGGCTTAATGGTGGAGGAAACTCAATGCCTAGTGGTGTTTTCTCTTTTAGTAATGAACTTTTTTTCCTGTAAAAGCAATGTACTTTGAATCATGGCTTGAGGTTGAAAATTTTATTTTAACTTTTTAAAAAGTTTATCCTGTTAAAAACTCTATTTCCATACTTATATTTGATTTTGGTTATGGTTTAATGGGTTAAGTTGTCAATTAACCCTTAAAATGCAATGCTGGGAAATTCTGAAAAATTACTAATATGTCCCTGTTTTGAAAATAAAATCCAGAAAAATCATCAGGAGTCAGATTGTGGATCCTTCAACTTTTAAAGTTTTTATTTTGAGTCTAGTTTGTGCATGATTTTTCCCAAGACCTGATATTGTCCATAACCAAGGTGAAAATTGTCTTTTTCACTGACTAGTCAGAAATTAGCTGCACAAACATGTTGTCTTGTAAAATTCATATAAAATTATTGAAAAATCGTATGGACTTGTGCAAGCACTTTCTGAAAGATAAAAGTCCAATATACTGGAATATGAAAAAATATTGTAAGTTATACATGTCTTAGTGGGGCTAAAATGGTCTTGAAAAGGTTGTTGTTTCAGGTCAAAATATGAGAATTTGATCTAATAAATAATCTGCATGTTTGGGTAGTACATTGCCATTATTTGTTCATGTAAACTTCTATTAATCCCTTTATTGGTGAATGTTTCTTTAGATATTGAAAATTCTTAAGTTTTGTGCATTTTGGTCCCATAATCTTGGTATATATGAGTATAGCTTACTCTAGACCAAATGAGTAGTCCTTTCAGATGTTTTGAGTGTTAGGAGCCATAAAAATGTGATCTTGGTCCCTTTCTTTCCTCTATCAAGAGATATGGAATTTGGGTTTGTGTAATAAGTTAGGGTTTTAGTTTTTTGACTCCTTTTAGCCATAGAAAGTCATAAAGTTAGAAACTTTATGACTTAGAATGATATTTGGGGCTAGATCTGAGTTCTGGACTTAGGGTCTTAATGGATTAAGCATTTAAAGAAGAGTGTGTTATGGACGTAAGTACGTCGAGCATGCCTTAAGGCACATAGCGCGTACTGGTGGAGAGTCTCGTTTTCTAGGAAGGCATCGCTGCGCCATGCATAGTGATTGAGTACGCAAGGCATACTCGGTCTTTGTTGACTTTTGATTTTTGCACTTTGAACTTTGACCACGGATTTAACCAAGTTTGACTTAAAGACATTTTGGGTAATTTGAATACTGTTTTGAGATTAGGTCCCTTTTTATTGTATAGGTGGCCGATAGAGACAACATTTAGGACAGTGGTCTGTTCAACTATTCTACAAACTATGAAGTGAGTTTTCCTCAATGTACTTGTGGGTCGAAGGCACCGATGCCGACCCACTGGATTATGTATTCTGGTATATTGGATGATGTTATACTGGTTATATGATAGACTGGTAGATTTGTATGATTACCTGTATTCACCAGATATGTGTTAGATTGGTAGATCTATATGATTACATGTATTTGTTGGTTATTGTATATGTTGATATGATATGACTATTTGGGTTGAGGCGGTATTTGTTTGTGTTGAAGACCAAGATACTCGGGGCGGTCCAGATATGATGTAGGCCTTGCAAGACGGTCCAGTCAGGCCGAAGGCCTGAAGAGCGGTCCAGATAGGTTGTAAGCCCTGCGAGACGATACAGTCAGGATTCAGGCTCATATATGCATGTTTTTATCTATTTGGTTGTACGTGATACTTTTGGAGAACTTGCTAAATTTTGGCAGTTTGAATATATATGTGTTATTGTGTTTTACTTTTATTTTCTATAACTAAAGATTGTAATTTTAAATAATATATAAATTTTATAGTGCGGTCTAAAACCATATCTTTACCATATTGACTTTTATTTTTAGTGAGGCTAGAAAGATATATTTTTTCTGCGTGGTATATCACATTTATAATGACATCTTGCCCAACAATTAATCATTATCTATGTATATTCAAGGATAATAATAAGTGCATAGTTGAAATTTATTAAATAATTCGTTGTTTCATCAAACAACAATATGTTGGTAAGGAAAATCTGCAAGATATAAACCGATTTCATTTATATAAAAATAAAAATATACAAATATTCGTAAATAAACGATAAAAAAAATAATATACATTTACTTCCAATTTTAAAAGGAGACCCAAATGTTTGTGTGAACAAAATGATTCCTTATTACTGAAATTTGTAATATAAAAAGTACAAATTTGATTAAAAATTAATAAAAAATTTCATGCGATGTTTCTGACCAATAGCAAATACAGCGAATGGGTAGATCACAGAATTTAATAAAAAGGCAGTCATGCACCAATGAAGTGAGGAGAAAGAAAACTGTTGACCAATTTTTCCATGTGAATATATAAATAATTAATTAAACAAAATGGAAAATTGCAGATCTAACCCTTTGAAATGTATCAATTTTCCATTCTGTCCCGATATTTAAGAATATTTACAAACATCCAAAACTCCAATTTCATATACCTACGTTTACTTGATTTTGTAGTTGTATGGTAGTACTCGTTCAAAATAAATATATTTAAATACTTTATTTCCCGAGAATGTTTCTAAAAGTTAAAAAACTAATTTCATTTTTTTATAAATATATTTTTTTATTTGAGATAAAGTTTTACTGTTTATTCGTAAAAAATAATGAATTAGATTAAGATGAAGTTAAATCAAGATTGATGGCTTGATAAGAATGCCAAATAAGTAAACTTGTATAAGCTATGTTTGGATGACTTTGAAGCTACAAGAGCCAAAATTATAATTGTGACCACAAAAAAACAAAAAAGATTGTGGCCATAAGAACTTGACTTTATTTGTTAGTTCACAACTATCTATTTATAGTATTCTCAACTTTTAAGTAGAAATCAAATTTTATTCTTGAAAACCATTAAAACACTTTTGTATAAAGACCAAACTATCCATAGAATCTATTCCTAAAAGAATGTTTTTTTTTTTTTTTTTTGTAATCTCTAGTAACAATATTTCAGCATGCCATTTAAGATTATCATGCACCACACAACTTCAATTATTGCAAAGCTTTTGTACAATATTTTTACATTATAAAGAAATTCTGAAAACTAATATAAGAACAACAATTCATATATATTTCTAAAGTTAAATTTTACATGTTAGCAAGTTACAATGACTAACCATTTAAACATAAGTTTAAAGATTTTAATATTAAAAATATGCATATATTCGAAGTTTTACCAAGTTTAACAGGAAATTATTTTAAAAAACGATCAAGAAAAAACATAATTATTTTATGGATAAAATTTAATGGTTAAATTTAAAAAATTATAATAGATTTCATTGATTTGTATATTGATACATATTTTGTTTTTTTCTATTACATACTATTGTAAATTGTATTCAAATATAAAACAATTCTCATTGTTGCAATAACAAAATTAAAAGTATATTGGTAAACTTTTTCAAAATAGCATCTTAATATAAGATAGTAAAATACCATAATAAAAAATGATAAAATCAAATTGCAATAATACAAAAATATTCTAATAGCTCTTGCATTTAGCCCTAAAAAGGATAAAATAAAACTAGAACTATTTAAACTAAAGGTCAAAAATAAACATTTTGCTAAAATCTAGGGGTTAAATTGCATTAAATCGAAAAGAAACTAAAGTTATCACTTCCATGGGTAATTACTCATTACATAAACCCTAATAAATGGAGTAGGATAATTTATTAATCATAAATTGCAGCAAATCCTTGCAGACAGAGAGAGATTATAGGTATACAGATACACGTGCATACACGCACGCATACACAAGCAAAACCAGCATGGAAATTGAACACGATGATACAGTGTATGTGTGAATATTTTAAATGAGGTTGAGTAATGAAAATGAAAGCATTGCCGCGAAATCGGGAAAGCAAGGATTGCTGTTTTTGGTGAAGAAACGAGAAGAAGCATCAACGATGATTCAATTTTTATATGGAGATTCGAGCAATTAACTCTCCCTCAATTAGAAACGAAACCTGCTCTGTACTCTATCGTTTGCTTCTTTTGATTCTCATCCTCTTCTTTCTTTAAACTATTCCCCAACTCCATTAATCGATCTATTCAAAAATTTGTAACTTTGTTTGCGAATTCTGAACCCTTATTCCCGAAAGAAAGAAAAACCCCGCGATTTTTCTGAGTTTTTGTTGATTTTACTGTTGGATTAAGGGGGGTTTTGTGATAAATTGATCTGAGAAAGTTTTGTGGGTGTTGGTTTCTGATAAAATTGATCCAGGGTTTTGTTCCTTTTTTGCGATTAACCTCTGGATCTAGTGTGTTCGATGCTCCGAATGATAACAGGATCTCCTTATTTTGATGAATCTGGAATCAATTGGGCTTACTATCTGTATTTTTTTCTACAGATTAATTAGGAAAAGCAAAAACATACTTTGAATATTTGATTTGTTGTGCTATATGTCATTATACTTATAGGATCTGTGTAAATACGTTTCTCCTTTAAGATTCTTTCTGATTTCAAAGGAGACTTTTTATTCCTTTTATAAAAATCTTTCCATTTTACAAAAGAAAGAAAAAAAAAAAAATACATCCATCTTCATCTTTCAACCCCCAACAGCAACAAAAACCCAACTTGTTTATTAGTTTCTGGGTTACACAGTTTAATCTTTTCACACAAATCTTTGTTATAGAGTAGGAAGCATAAACTTAGATCTTGAATTTTCTTGGTGAAATTAAAAATGGCAGATGTTGATACTGATAACAAGTGTTGTCAATGTGAGATAACAGTTTCTGAATCTTGTAACTATTGTACTAATCCTAAAGCAACACAAAAAATTAGGGATCATAAAATTTTCAATCCCTCTGATTCAACCAATGAAACACCATCATCAAATTTCATCAATGAAAGATTTGATGGAAGGTGTCTTCAAGCAGTATCTGTACGCCACTCATCTGGCAGGTATGATCAAACTTCAATCCTATAACTATTTCTAAATCTTGATTTGAATAAAGATAATGAATCATTGTTTTATTTTAGGAGTGATGAAGATGAGGCAGAAGATTCTGCAAAGAACTTCTTTAGTCCATATAGTCATGACACATCAGATTTAGATTCAAGTAGTGTAAGCACAAGACACGAATTCAACAGTTTCATGTCTCTTAATTCAAGCCCTTCAGACAGCCCTTCAAAGATTCAAGAACACATGGCTGTTTTGAAAAGCCATGAACACATAGGGCCCGAGTTTTCTCAAAGTTATGATGATTTTTCAATCTTTCAAGAACAATGTGACAAGTCACATTCACATAAACCGTTGGATTTTGAAACAAATGATCTCATTTGGTTTCCTCCACCACCACATGATCAAAACGAAGATGATGATGATGATGATGATAACAATTTCTTTTCATATGGTGATGATGATGATGAAATGGGAGACACAAACACAAACACAAGCGTTGTTTTTTCTTCTAGTGAACCGTTGAAAACCGTAGTCCAGGGGCATTTTCGGGCACTTGTGTCCCAATTATTGCAATCTGAATTCAATTCAACAGAAAAATGGCTTGATATTGTAACATCATTAGCATGGGAAGCTGCACATTATGTTAAACCAGATACAAGTAGAGGAGGAAGCATGGATCCTGGTGATTATGTAAAGATCAAGTGTATAGCATCGGGAAATCCTTCTGATAGGTTTGAAGTTTGAATCTTTTTTGAATTTTAAGGGCTACCCGTTTTTTATAATCAGATAAAAACTTATATTTTTTATGCAGCGTGTTTGTTAAAGGTGTAGTTTGTACAAAAAATATAAAACACAAACGGATGACTTCAGAATACAAGAATGCAAGATTGCTTATTTTAGGAGGAGCACTTGAGTACCAAAGGTCAAGTGATCAACTTTCTTCTATTGAAACGCTTCTGCAACAGGTTTGTTGTTTTTCTACTGATTTGACTAATTTACCCTTCACACCACAATGGCTTGTTCAATAAAATAGTCATTTACTATTATTCTAATCCCAACAGACATCATTTATCCATTCAAGAATTTATTCAAAAAACACTTATTCCACATCATTTTTTTAACAGGAAATGGATCATTTAAAGATGATTGTTTCAAGAATAGAAGCTCTTAGGCCAAATGTATTACTAGTAGAAAAAAGTGTATCTTCATATGCTCAAGAGTATCTTTTAGCCAAAGAGATCTCTTTAGTCTTGAATATCAAACGACCATTATTGGATAGAATTTCAAGGTGCACAGGTGCCCCTATAACTCCATCAATATCTCATATTTCCACCACAAGGGTAGGCCAATGTGAGCTTTTTACATTGGAAAAAGTGTCAGAAGAACACGAAAATCCCAACCAATTCAACAAAAAACCACAAAAAACTTTGATGTTTTTTGAAGGGTGTCCAAGGCGTTTGGGATGCACCGTAAGTCTCTTGAATTTTATAATAAAAGGAAAAAAAAAATCGTTAAAAGTGGAAACTTTTTTTATAAAATTCAAAATTTTGTAGGTTTTGCTAAAAGGTTCATCTCGTGAAGAACTAAAGAAGCTCAAACATGTGGTTCAGTATGCAATCTTTGCAGCTTATCATTTATCTTTGGAAACTTCTTTTTTAGCTGACGAGGGTGCTAGTTTACCTAAAATGACTATTTTGCCCTTGGTGCCACAACCGGAGATGAGTAATCAAGAAATGACTATAACGCCCCCGGGTTTGGAACTTAGTGAAAGTGATGTGGGTGTTGAGAGTGGAAGGTTTTTTGCCTCTATGGAGGAGGAGAAAGATGTTGAAAGAGTGTGTGATTTGATGCAAAATGATGAAGGTGATAAAGATGTTGAAAGGGGTGAAGTGATTATTGAGGGATCTGAGGAGTATTATTCAGGCAGTGATAATAATCAGAGTATTTTGGTATCGTTTTCAAGTCATTGTGTGATGAATGGAAGTGTTTGTGAACGTTCAAGACTCTTGAGGATTAAGTTTTATGGTTGTTTTGATAAACCACTTGGGAGGTATCTTCAAGATGATCTTTTTGATCAAGTAAGTTTGAATTTTTCGTTCTTTTATCGTATTATCTTGAAAAGATCAAAACTTTATGATTTTGCGTTTCATGGGTTTTTCTTATTTTGATCAAGTAAGTTTGAATTTTGGTTCTTTTATCGTCTTGTCTTGAAAAGATCAAAACTTTATATGATATTCTTTTCATGGGGTATTCTTATTTTGACCAAGTTTGAGTTTTCGTTCTTTTATCATCTTTTGTGAAAAGATCAAAACTTTATGATTTTCATTTTATCGGTTTTTCTTATTTTGATCAATAAGTTTAAATTTTCATTCTTTAATAATCTTTTCTTGAAAAGAACAAAATTTTATTATTTTCCTTTCATGGGGTTTTCTTATTTTGATCAAGTTTGAATCTTTGTTTTTTTTCATCTTTTCTTGAAAAGATCAAAACTTTATGATTTTCTTTTTATGGGGTTTTCTTATTTTGATCAAGTTTGAATCTTTGTTTTTTTTTTCATCTTTTCTTGAAAAGATCAAAACTTTATGATTTTCTTTTTATGGGGTTTTCTTATTTTGATCAAGTTTGAAATTTTCCTCTTTTATCATCTTTTCTTGAAAAGATCAAAACTTTATGATTTTCTTTTTATGGGTTTTTCTTATCTTAATCAATTAAGTTTGAATTTTTGTTCTTATATTACATTTTGTTGAAAAGATTGTAGCTTTCCGGCTCCCATTTCATGGGGTTTCTCTTATTTTGATCAAATAACTTCAAATTTTCGTTCTTTTATCATCTTTTCATGAAAAGAACAAAACTTTACACTTCCCTTTCTTATTTTGATCAAGCATGCTCAAAATTTTGTTCTTCTAATATAAATTTTTGAAAAGATCAAAGCTTTATAGTTCCCTCTTTCCTAGGTTTTTCTTTTTGATCAAGTAATTTGGATCTTCATTCTTTTGTTTCATTTTCATTGGTTTTTCTTTTTAATTAAGTTTGTTCAAGTTTTCGTTCTTCAATTATCTTTTCTTTTAAAGATTGAATCTTTCTATTATGGGTAGTGAGAGCAAAGTACATTGCTATTCTACACAATCTAATTAAAATTTGTTTAAATTTTCATTCTTGAAAAAGATCGAATTTTTACAATTCCCTTTTCATGATCATTTTAGGCATCATTATGTCAATCTTGTAAAGAACCAAGTGAAGCCCATGTGAAATGCTACACTCACCAACAAGGAAATCTAACTATTAACGTTAGACGACTTCAGTCCCTCAAGTTACCCGGGGGTAAAGATGGAAAAATATGGATGTGGCATCGGTGTTTGAGATGTACTCATGTAGATGGGGTCCCACCAGCCAATCATAGAGTGGTCATGTCGGATGCTGCGTGGGGCCTCTCATTAGGGAAGTTTCTAGAACTTAGTTTTTCAAATCATGCAACTGCTAATCGTGTTGCTAGTTGTGGTCATTCCCTTCAAAGAGACTGTCTTCGATTCTATGGGTAATTTGGTACTTTCAAGTTTATCAACATGTTCGTGTATGTGATTAATTAAAAAAAAAAAGTAAAATACATAATAAACGATCCATGTTGAATATGAAACCTTATTTTGATCATTATTTTTAAGAGAAAACTCAAAAAATGGTCCCTACAGTTTGCATTTTACTTTGACAGAAGTCCAAAAAAGTTTCATCTTGCAAAAGTGGTCATTTGGCAAGGTTTCATTGTGGTTTAGGTCCATGTTGAATATGAAACCTTGAAATAAGGACCAAAGTTGAAAAGAACATTTTGATTTGGACTAAACATGGTAAATATAAAAAGTAGCAAGGACTTGTGTTGTAATTTACTCTTATAAATTACCAAAATGTTCACTATGCTTTTTTATATTTACACGTGTCTAAGTCCAAAATTGAAAGTCTTTTTAGTATTGGTCTTTATTTCGAGGTTTCTATCAATTTTTGGTAATTATTTCAAAGTTTCATATTTTTTGTCATTATGTCAATCTTCTAGGGACCTAAGTGAAAAGCATAAGGACCAATTTTGTAAAATTCAATTTTTTTTAAACTTATATAACAAAATGACCTACTATTTTTTAATATCGATTTTGAGAATTGCTAAATTGCTTTATGAACGATCATTACCACAAAACCTTGAAATATATCTTTTTTTTTTTCTTTCTGAAATGACATCATATTGCAAAATAATGATGTCATCTTGCAAAAACAAAACATTTTAATTTTTTATTTTTTGATATTGGAGCATTCATAAAACAATTTTGCAATTTGCAAAATTTATATTGCCAAATGGATTGTCATTTTTATACAAGCGTAAAAAAGATGAATAATTGGTTAAATGAACTTTATAACATTGGCCATTTTTGTGATTATTCCTTAATTAAACTTATATTTATTACAGAATGGGGGACATGGTTGCATTTTTTCGCTACTCTCCAATCGATATTCTTTCTGTCCATTTGCCCCCTTCTATTCTTCAATTTGGTGACCATTTTCAACAAGATTGGTTGAAGAAAGAAGTATCAGAGGTAAAAATCCCAAATCTAATTCTTCAACTTTCTTGATTTTATACTTGTTTATGTCCTAAAAAAACTTGTATTTTCTTGCTAAAATCAGCTTTTGAACAAGATAGAAGCCTTGTATGATGAGATTCTTGATGTGCTAAATGGAATCGAATCAAAAAGTACATCTTTTGGAAATGACTTAACCGATTCAGATGAATTAAGTAATCATGTAATGGAGTTGAAGGAGCAATTAAGTAAAGAAAGACAAGAATATATTGTAAGTCAAATTTCTTTAATTTTATAATTTATAGAATATTAGAATCCCATTATTTCCATTTCATTTAATTTGTTCTTTTTTCGAAAAAGGATCTTCTTCAATCTGCTGATGAAGAAAACGGGGTAGAAATAGATGTTTTTGAACTTAATCGATTAAGACATTCACTCGTGATTAATCTACATTTCTGGGATCGAAGAATCTGTTCTTTAAATCTTTACAATCGAAGTTCAAATCTAAAACCATCGAGTCCAGATTCCAAATCATGGAGATCCGATTCCATTCCAGAGGACACCATTTACAATGAATCGGAGTTGAATCAAGATCCCGATTCTGTTCCCGATTCATTATCAATGTCTTTCGATCTCTGCAAACACGAAGAGCTACAAGTAGATATCGAACGCATCTCATCGTCACTCGAACGTGCTCCTTCAGCTGCATCAGTTCTATCAGATAAAATCGATTCCGCATGGGCAGGACCCTTGAAATCACATGAATCACAAACGAATCAAAACCCTAATTCACATCTCACTCGGCTACCACAATCACCTACCAGGGTTTATTCATTTGATTCTGCAATTAGACAGCAAGAACGAAACAGAAAAGGATTACCCCCTTCTTCATTGTATCTTTCAACTCTAAAATCTTTTCACGCTTCTGGTGATTACGTTCATATGGTCAGGGACCCTGTTCATAACATACAAAGACGAAGCTACTCCCAAGCTTTTTCAAACGAAGATTTCTCAATTACAAGCAAACAATCGTTGATTTCTTCCACATCTTTTCTTCCTGAAGGTGCGAGACTAATGATTCCAAACGGGGGTCAATTTCAAACCAACCTGGTGATTTCAGTCTACGACAACGAACCCACAAGCATAATCGCTTACGCTCTTTCATCAAAAGAACACGACGATTGGATTACAGATAGGGTGAATTTAAGCAGAAACGGATCCACAGCTTGGCAATCTTTAGGGTCGGTGGATTTGGATTACGCATATTATGCACAAGAAGATGCGATCGGGCCATTGTTTAGTGATCGGAAAAGCTCTAATCATGTAACGATTCCATTCGAAGATGAATCTGGTGGTGATGGGAAGGTGAAATTCTCTGTGACATGTTATTTCGCCAAGAATTTTGATGCTTTGAGACAGAAATGTTGTTCGAATGAATTGGATTATGTTCGTTCTTTGAGTCGCTGCAAAAGATGGAGTGCTCAAGGAGGAAAAAGCAATGTCTATTTCGCGAAATCTTTGGATGAAAGATTTATTATAAAGCAAGTCACAAAAACTGAACTTGAATCTTTTGAGGAATTCGCGCCAGAATATTTTAAATATTTGATGGATTCTTTGAATTCTGGAAGTCCCACTTGTTTAGCAAAGATCATGGGAATTTATCAGGTTCTTTCTTTATGTCCTTTTATATATTTAGTCCTTGTGTTTGTTCAAAATTTTCATTTTTGGTCCCAAATAATTTCTCTTGCATTTTTGGTACCTATTAACGGTTTCTAGTTCTTGTAGCTGTTGGCAGGCATTAAGATTGTAGAGGAGAATAATGAAATACAGTTTTTGCTAAGTTACATTTTTGGTCCATAAGTATAGTTGTTTTGCAGTTCTGGTCCTTATTTAGGTATTTGTAATGTTTTTAGTCCCCGTTCAAAGTAAAATAACTGTATTTGGTCCCTAAGTATAGCTGGTTTTCTGCAATTTTGGTCCTAAAAATATTGTTATTTAATATTTTACTTTGAACTGTAACAAAAACCTCAAATTATGACCAAAATTGTAAGAAAATTTTTTCAAGGACCAAAAATGTAAATTGCTCTACAAATAAATAAAATTCAGGCACCATAAATGTAAATTGCTCTACAAAATTTGTTAGAAACTCATAGATCAAAAACCTAAGGACCAAACTTGCAAGAAAAAAAAAAACATTTTTCGTACCAAAATATAGAAAGTTAGGGACCAAAAATGTAATTACCCGGAACAAATTCAAGGACCAAAATTGTTACAAACAATTGAAAACAGTTACCAAAATTGTAAGAGAAAATTAATTATTCGGAACAAAAACTATACTTTTTAAACAAAGTCAATGACCAAAAATGTAATTTACTCTAATATTGTATTATATTATGCTGATGTTTGAGGATGTATTTATGACAGGTGACTGTGAAACACTTGAGGGCTGGAAAAGAGGCAAAAATGAATGTTTTGGTGATGGAAAACGTTTTTTTTAAAAGAAATATTTCACGGGTTTATGATTTAAAAGGCTCTTCAAGGTCACGTTATAATTCGGATACAACGGGTACAAATAAAACTTTGTTAGATATGAATCTGTTGGAGGCTTTGAGAACAAATCCCATTTTTCTTGGAAGTAAAGCTAAAAGAAAGCTCGAAAGAGCCGTTTGGAATGACACATCATTTCTAGCAGTAAGTTTTACTTATTTATTTTTTTAACATACAAGAAATAGCAACGTACTTTCGTTTGTTTTTGGATTATAGTAATTTACTTTAATTTTTTCTAAAAGGAAAATGAAAGTAAGTTGTTATTTCTTGCATTTCATTAACTTAACGTATGCACATTCTTTGTGGTTATGCAGTCGATCGATGTCATAGATTACTCTTTGCTAGTTGGAGTGGACGAGGAAAAGAAAGAACTTGTCCTAGGAATCATTGATTTCATGAGACAATATACATGGGACAAACATCTAGAAACATGGGTAAAAGCTTCCGGAATTCTTGGTGGGCCCAAGAACGCCGCCCCAACCATAATTTCTCCAAAACAGTACAAGAAAAGGTTCCGGAAGGCCATGACGAGTTACTTTTTGACTGTCCCGGATCAATGGTCATCGTGAAATCGACATGTTTTTGGGTAGAAATTAGAATTTATTTTCCCTTTGATAGGTTAATTTTGTATACAAATCTACTTAGGGAGAGATTATTGAAAAAAGTTGTACATTTAGAAAGAAAGATTGTTCACATGAACCCACTTTGGTTAAATGGAAACTTTGTGGTTAAGGTTATTGAGTAGTAATGTATTTTTTCATTTGTTGTGATTTCTTTTGTACATAGGTTAAATGGAAACTTTGTGGTTAAGATTGTTGTGTGTTTATGAATTGTTTGCTAGGAGGTGTAATTTGTTGAGATTATGTCATGCAAATTATACATAGAAAAAATCCGATGTTTTTTTAATTACCATGTTATGTAGTATGATACAAACGTATATTACCATATATGTTTCCAGATACAAACGTATATTACCATATATGTTTCCAGATTCCATGCTTGTAACATGTGTTTTGCTATATGCGTTTTTAAGGACTCCAAGAACACGTTCGACAAACAACCTTCTATGTGTTGCTTCTTGATTTGTACGTCTTGAACAATTTTTGTTTTACATCTTGGAATATTGGTACAAGTTAATGAACGTAGAGTATTTCATCAGTAAAGTAATACTCATGTTTGTACTGCGTTTCATTCACTACAAACGAAACATCGGGTACTTTTCCTTGTAGAGCATCATTGAAGATCGGTGTCTAATTAAGAACATGAGGTCATTATTGGATCCGACAACACTAATGTATGCATGCCAAATCCATAGATCTTGTGACACAACCGTTCTAATATCAGTGTTGACACTCCATGATCACCATGTGTGTATTGTCTTCTCCATGTATTTGAACAGTTTTCCCAAAGACACTCCATGATCACCATGTGTGTATTGCCTTCTCCATGTATTTGGATAGTTTTCCCAAATCCAGTACACGCAATCGACGCTCCCTAACTATTAGTATGTATTGAGATGAAAAAAAAAATCAAAAGGCGACTTTTCTAGCTATGATCTTCAGTGTTCTATCATGGTGGTTTCAAATGTTGGTAATGTTTTTAATCGGATATCATTTGATATGATTTTAGTGGCATTGGAAGATGAAGTTCAAAGATTATGAGTGGAAAATTGGAAACAAAGAAAGTAAATGGGGAAGGAATCAATCGACGTGGAGAAGCTATTGATTACATTCTATATGACTAATTTCCCTAAGGACATGAATGAAAAGAGATTGTGTCCATTCTACCATCACTAGTCGTCTAGTCATATTGTAATAGACCTTTGGTGAATATTGAGGGAAAGGGGTATGTTGTTAGTGTTGTGAATAACTTATTGATGTCCTACCATAAAAAATGTGGAAGAGAGTGTGAACAAGAGTCGGAAGATGATAAGGATGATGATTAATGGAACAATGATGATCTAGGTATGGAAATGGAAATGGAGCAATTTCTTCTAAACAACAAAATCACATCTATTTCCTTTTTTAAGGAGATCTTTTTTTTTCGCCATTTTTTTCATCACCACCTTATGCCAACTTTCAAATTTATTCTTTTGAGAGTTTTAAGCGTATCTTTGAAAATAATATACTTACTTACTCAAGTATTTTCAACCCCTTTCGACCCACGAGTCTTACAATTTACACCACTTTATCGATTATCGAAACAATCCAAGGACATCCAACGTTTGAACAAATTAAAAGGAATAAGGTTATAGTCTAACATTCCGTCTTTTAAAACAATAGGACAGTTATCTAACCACACAATCTAGTAAAAGCCAACGCAGAAATACTAAAAAAAAAATTCTACCACACGTCCACATGGTAACATCACGAAGTTCAACTTCAATTGGTATTTCATTTTGTTAAGAACCATAAAACGATGGTTATTCCAAAATTTATTATTGATTACAATTGTGTATCTTTTATGTTCTATACAATTATCTAAAAATTTACAAGGGTCAAAACTCATTTTTTGTGAATAACTTAAATCAATATCTTTACAGATACATGCAACAATTATTGAACAACTACCTCTTGGTAAAAGCGATTTTCAATTTCTTTTCTTACAACAAAGTTATATTGTTCGTTGATTTTCTATTATGTTCTTAGGTATTTCGTAGAATGATGCATATATTTTGGCGTTTTAAATTTGAAAGGCTTAAAATTTTATGGAATAGTAAATGTAATTAATTAGTTATAGAAGTTAACAAGTTAATGATTAGTTTGGACAGATTGGTTTTTAAAGATATAATGACTTAGTTGAGGTTAAACAAAAATGTTTCTATTTGGTGATTATAACCTCATAAGGCGAGCTTTTTCGCACATGCTTACGCGTTGTATAAAGTCATTTGTCAAAACATTTCTTTTGTTAGACAACAATCACTTTTGGTGTTTCTGTTTTCTTTCTATTTATAATGGTGATGTCTTAAAAACAATTTTATTTCTTTAACTGATAAAACATGCGTATATAATAGAGTAATAATAAAGAGATACTACTTAAAGATATCATTAAACCAATCAAAATTGTTCAAATGTATTTTTCCCCCTATCTTTACGGTGTTAGTTTGACATCCTTTAATGTGTAGATTGTGTTAATTAAAAGTATGGTCACAAGATATCTACTCAAAAAAACATTATATCAACGTCACATCATCTTTACAACATTCTTACTGTTACATTACAAACTTTTGGAAATGATCATCATTCCAAATCATCAATATATTTTTTTTTAATCATTTTTATTTATTCTACTCCAACCTATATAATTAATATTATACAAAGTAAAATTAAATTAATTAATCAATTATACATATTAAATCATTTTTTATTTGAGCTTTGAGTAACATTTCACTTGTCGTTTATGTGAATGTATGAATAAACAAATCATTATCATCATAGATGAAGAATAAGAAGGTAGAAAGTTATTCATCTTTTAAAAATGTGTTTGTAGTGTGAAAATGTATATGAAAATGACAGTATTTATATGTAAAATTAGGGTTGTAAACAAACCGAACGAACACAAGCAATGACTAATTTATGTTCGTTTAAGTTAGCAGAACAAGTAAACCAACACGAACGGATAAATGAATGAGTTTCCTTGTTCATGTTTGTTCGTTTAACAAATTATGTGGTTCATGTTCGTTCGTTTATGTTCACGAACATCATAAAACAAGCATACACGAACATAGATGAACACACACAACTGAACATATATGAACATAAAAAAAACATATAATATACTAATATAATAAACAAAAATAAACATATATGAATATAAAAGGAACTTAGATGAACAAACATAGATGAACGTTCATGAACATAATTGAATGAACGAGGCTATTGTTCATATTTTTCGTCTAACTAAATGAACGAATATTTTTATTTATATTCGTTCATTTATTAAATAAACAAACATAAACAGGTAAAATGGATGGTTTAAAAATATATATATATATATATATATATATATATATATATATATATATATATATATATCCCAACAGTCGAAATTTTTATTGTTTCCTATGTGAAAATTCGTAGAACTATCCATTCCACAAAACACCTACTAGTATCTAAGGAGCTGTTTGGTAGCATCTGGAGTATTTATATCTAGATGATGTAGAGACATGGATGATGCAGAGGCTTGTATGAATCTGTATCTTAATGATAAATTGATGTTTGGTCAAACATCGGAATATCTGTCTCTTAATGAAAAAAATGACCATTTTAACCCTCTGAATTATTTGTTGCTTTTTGATTAAACATATGAATGACTGTGCTTAACGATACCGAATTTGTAAACAATTATAAATAAAATACAAAACGTCATACAAAATTCAAATTAAACATTAAAAAAAAAAATCAAAATTAAAATTCATACAACTTGATGTTGTTCATCTTCTTGTGTGTGTCAAACAGTTACGTTCCACCTATTAAACAAACTAAGAAGTGTTTTATTGCAAGATGATCTTCATCGTTTTGCCTTTTTCCTTCTCTTTCTCTTCGTCAACCTCTTCAATGTTACATGATCTTCTTCGAGGAAGAGAGTGATCTTGGTTTATCTATCGAGTGGCGCACTGTCAACATCTCTGGTGACAGTGAATGAACCACCTGCTTGGGACTCCCATATGTATTGATCATCAACGTTGTGTTTGGTGGTGACAATGACCTTTTCAGCAACTAGGTATCTAGATAGGCAAGATAGAAACCAATACCAAACTCAGTAAGAACACATAAAAGCAATTCCACACAAGTTTCAGCAAAGAAGAAGAAAACTCAGCAAAAACAGATCAAACTCAAGCTTCAAGTCGACCAAAAACATGCTTAAAAAACCGATTTCATAGATTTGAGGTTTTAAGACAAGAACATCGAGAAACGGAGGGGGACTTACTAGCGAAGGGGAGGCGGCGAAGAGGAGGGATGTGGACGTGGATTGGTGATGGTGCTAGTCCAATGGCAATGTGAGAATCACCGAGAAACAAAAAATGATGTCGATGGGAGAAGATGGGGAAAGCAAAAAAGAGGTGGACATTTTATTTTTTAGGTCTAGGGGTATCAGAAGGAAAATTTTCATCCAGACTTGTCAACACATCTGACCGATCAAGATCACTTTCATTTATGTGTGGCTGATTAAGAGACTAAAAAAGCTCCAACCAAAAGCTCTGAATCTAAACGATCCAGAGCCAACCTCTTTATGAGATCATTAAGAGGCCAAACAAACAACCCCTAAGGCGGTATTTGTGTATGGAAACCTCCCTCCATGTAGTATTCTATGTGTAAAAACCCCACCATACCATATAGCCTTATGTACCGAACCAAATTTCACAAAAAAATCATGTAACGTCCATAGATCCGGGCTAGTCAATTTAGAGATAATAGGGGTCGAAAATGACTTTTCAACAAAAGATTATTTAGAATAAATAATCTTAACCAAATTTTAGAATATGTCACAAGGTTTCCGTACATATAAAGAGCGTCAAAATCCGAGTTATAACGAAGAAGTTATGACCCGTCGAAGTTTCGCGACGGAACCGACACGGCACCGGGAATCGTAAATAGTGAATTTACGATAGAGCGAGATTTAGCCTTAGCAATCTAAAATAAAGTCGTAGAATACGTTAAAGCAAGAGCATCCATAAAAAGAATGCCCAAATCTGACTTCGTATGAGGAAGTTATGAATTTTCTAAGATTTGGCTTAGCAGTAAACGATCCGAAACTTGATTTTTAGTGCGAGCGGTTTTTGGCTTACGCGACCTAAATGAGAGTTGAAGATCTCATTAATAGGAACTCAATGGTAAAAAGATATACGAAAATGGATTCCGTATGAAGGAGTTACGAA